ATTTTTTAATAACAGGATCCCTACTTCATTTTAAAAGTAATAATTTTTTAATACTCTTATTTGTTTATTGTTTATGTTGTACCTGTATAAAGTACAGCTGAAGAAATCTTGTAGTAATAGTCTGAGCCATATTATAATGGGGCTGCCATTCTTGAGGTGAATACATACTGGCCTACAAGGTACAAAAACACTCTCCCACCATCGAGATGTCTCCCTAGCACAGGGTAATATGTTGGTCAGCCTTGCTTAAAACTGATAACTAGACACGTCCATGCTATTTCCACCTCTAGTAACACTGTGTGTGGCAAAGTGTCCTCTGCTTAATGATCTTTCAGTCTACCCAGTCTGTGTGACATTATTTGGTACGGGTTACAGATCTAAGTTGTGGTAGTCAATGATCCCATATTGAGAAATTCATCCACCTTAATTCATCCACAACTAAACTACAGGTGGTTAACACTGGGACTAATCTCACCAAAAGAAAAACACTAAAGGTCACAATAAACCTAATTAAAGCTTGAAATCTCTGGATTCTAAAACTATATGATGACATACTAGAAAATTGTGGGCATTCCAGATATTGAACCATTTCTTTCCTAAATTCAACTACAAATGTGACTCTCTCTAAAAGCAGTTTTATTTAGTAAATACAGGACACAATTTCCTAAGATTCCTCATAAATGTGTCCTGATGAGTAAGAGGTTTTTACCATAGATAAAGCAATACAGAGAATGCACTAAATATTTAAAAGAATTAAACTACATGTATTCATCCCAATACAACAATAAATGTTCCGGATATTATAAGACTTGTAAATATGCATTGTTCCTAAACAGTTTGATTCATTACTTCTAAACACTTTTATCATCACTGTCTGTATGACTTTCAATAGACCTATTTTGCAATATGTACATAATAAGAGTTTTTGTTCTGAATATCACTCATGAAAAATTAAAACTAAGCTATCGCTGCTGGGAGAAGGATCTACACAACATTCAGAAGTCAACAAAAAATATTGGCAAATTAACAACTTCTTGATGAATGTAAGCTGAAATTTTGTAAAGCACAACATTAATGTATGTATAAATCATTTAATCCAACAGTCAAGGTATCTGCATGATATATTTAAAAATATTGCTTATTCGATTCAAGTCAAACTTTCAGTAACAGTGCAAGCTGGCATTTTATAAACAACAGTAAGTGTACATCTCATGACCTATTTTCTGTTTTTATCATGCTTGTTTAAAATTATGCTATATTTAAAGTATCAATCAGAATTATCATGTTTGCTCATGAGTAAAATTAAAAAGTTTCTGTTTCACTTACAGGACTTTACCTTGTGCTCTATGTATTACTGAAGCAATTGGATATTTTTGAGGGAATTTTACAATTGCTTCAGTATTTGTTTTATGTTAAAGAGGTTAAGAAAGAAACTAAAAAAATTTAGATTTCTGCGAATGATATACATAAAGAAATGGCATAAGTAAAGGTTGCCTTATTACAAGATCAAGAAGTAGGTGAAGCACAATTAACTGATTAGTTAGTATTGAGAATCATGAGTTATAAAACAAATGAAGGTACATTACCTCTTCTCACAATAATAGCTAGAATCCCATGTTGAATAGGTGGAGTGACCAGTGTAAGGGAAAGAAAGAAGCATTCTTTGAATGGGTCCAAAGAACACCCTAAAAGAGGGGGACCCTCACAGTAGAGGATGATACGTGGGAGACCACACCACTTCTGTACTCAGGAGTCCTCATAAATGAAATTAATTGTAAGAAGTATAAAATATTAATTACAAAAGGGAAAAAGTATTTGTTGAAAAAAACAATATATTTGACCTAATTTACTATTTTCCAGTAAGTTAAATGACAGATAAGCCTAAAATAAAAAAGACACATTAAGCGGACCATAATACAAATGTGTGGGCCCCTAAACTCGAGGCCTAACGAAGATCAACTCGTATAATGATCAATCTCCCACTGTATTAAAGCTGACAGTTCCCCAGTCGAGTACAACCACCTGAAGCCTGGGTAATTGTGCTGGAAGTAAATGATAACATTTTCGAAGTGGAAACATAAGCTTCAATAAGTTATCACTTAAAACTGGTAAAGTGAAGTAAGAAAAATAAATCTTCACTTCACATGAAATATAAAAAAAAACATGGGAAGAGAACACAAACAAGAAATGTCTTGACAATAGCACTGCCAAATGAGAAGTGATAGTTTGGTAGAATCAAACAAAGGGAGTCACATGCATCAGGAGGGTGTGTAGTGCTCCTATTAGTGCATGATGATTTGCATGCAAGACTGAGTTGAACCACATTGAAGCTCAATGCTTGTGGCATGCAAAAAAATGTTTTGCATATTGAGGGCAGCACTGAATGATAATAGCTATTTATGCGAGATGAGGTAATGTAACTTATTGTAAAATATGATAATGTATTGACTGAATATAATTTCTTCAGAAATCTAACAGTGTCCAACCACGTCTTATCATTGATTGTACAGTACTATGAAGTTCCTTCGTCAATTATAGTACAATCACAGACATGATCAAATTACTAGGACCATAATACTATTAAAGTTTTGGCAAAAGTCTATACCAATGGTTGTTTGACATTCAACTCTCATCTATGGAGGGAAAAGAGTTAGTAAATTAGAAATCACTTTGAAATCAGGCATGTTAAGTCTTCTTGAACCAGCTGAAAATCTCCTGGCAGATTAAGGATATGACATCAGAGATATAATTCCTGAAGGTGTAAACTTAATTTTTTTTTCCATTTTAGGGGTAATATAGTCAATTTTTGTCTGATGAAATGAATGAAACAATGAACATTGCCTCAGTCCATACTGTTT